CAATCAAACAAAGCAACTGGAACAGAATAAGGGGAAGTCACAATAGGATTAACAGCACAAGGAAACAAGGATGAAATGATGGTATGGCATAAGAGGTCGGGGCATGCATCAGGAAAGGCTATGGAGAAGCTGCTAGGTTACAATTTAGAGATGTGCAAATCTGTAATAGATAGATGTGATGTATGCCCATTAGCCAAACATCACAGATTACCTTTTCCTTTAAGTACTAGTAGAACAAATAAGGTGTTTCAATTGCTGCACTTGGATGTCTGGGGACCATATAGTACACCAACCTATGATGGAAATAAGTACTTTTTAACGATAGTAGATGATTACTCTCGTGTAACATGGATTTTTCTGCTGAAATTTAAATCAGATGTAATCATAGTACTTACAGATTTTCTCAAGATGATAGCAACACAATTTAATGCAGTGGTTTAGATAATAAGGTCTGATAATGGAGGGGAGTTTGTGAATTTAGAGATGCAAGATCTGCTTAAATCCTTGGGAATCATACATCAAAGAACCTGTACCTACACACCCCAACAAAATGGGGTAGCAGAGAGAAAGCACAGGCACCTCCTTGAAGTGGCAAGGTCATTCAAATTTCAAGGACATATTCCCATCAGGTTTTGGGGACATTGTATGCTAGCTGCAGCTTATGTGATCAATAGGCTACCATCAGTAGCTCTTGAAGGTAAATCTCCCTATGAAGTATTTTTTCATAAAAGGCCTTTTATAAGCCATTTGAAGACCTTGGGATGTTTATGCTTTGCTGCTACTTTGCCAAGAGGAGACAAGTTTGGAAGCAAAGCAATTAAAGCTGTGTTTATGGGGTATTCTAGTGTAACCAAAGGTTACATTCTATATGATCTGGAGAAACATCTGTTCTTTATGAATAGAGATGTCATTTTTAGAGAGGAAGTCTTTCCATTTCAGTTGCAGGATACAGAGATGGATCAAACAATAGATCCTTTCCTCCTAAATGATGCTGATCGTTTACCATCAGAAGGCCCAATGCCAGCATGTTCACCTGTATTGAACTCCATTCCAAGAAGCATATCTGAAGCTGATCCAGTGATAATGCCGGAGGCAGTTCCTGTCACTGCAGTTCCACAGGAGAGCTCAACCTTAGGGGGAATTTCTGAGCATGAAACTTTGCAACATATGGATACATCTGCAGAGTCAGCTGATCATAATGAAGACATGGAGAACATTACTGATATGAATGAATCAATGATGTCGGCTGATAATCTTGAACAGGTTCTGCCATCCACAAGCAGCATTGACAGTGCAATTCCTCTTAGAAGATCTCAAAGAGGAACCAAGGAGCCAGTGTGGATGACAGACTATATTACTCAGAAGCCATCTACCAACTCAATTTTATATCCCATTGAGAATGTTGTTAGCTATGAAAAGTTGTCCTTATCTCATCACACCTACGTTAAAGCTTTTTTCAGCAGTCACAGAACCTTAAAATTTCCAGCAGGCATCTCAAGACAGTAGATAGGTTGAAGCTATGCAGGCTGAAATTCAAGCCCTTCAGGAGAACAACACTTGGAAACTAGTTAAGCTGCCACCAGGGAAGAAACATATAGGTTGCAAATGGGTATACAAAGTAAAGCTGAAAGCAGATGGCCAAGTAGAGAGGTTCAAAGCTAGACTAGTAGCTAAAGGGTATAACCAAAGGGAGGGGTTAGACTACAATGAGACCTTCTCCCAGTGGTTAAAATAGCTACTGTGAGAACTGTCATGTCTATTAGTATTGTCAATAATTGGTTCATTTATCAGCTAGATGTCTATAGTGCTTTCCTTCAGGGAGACCTCCATGATGAAGTCTATATGGAGCTTCCATAGGGTTTTACAAGCCAGGGGGAGCAGGGTATGGTTTGTAGACTTGTAAAATCCCTCTATGGCCTTAAACGGGCTAGTAGACAATGGAACCTCAAACTGACAGAAGCACTTCTGGATTCTGGTTTTCTTCAGAGCAGCCTAGATCATTCCTTGTTCATCAAACAACAAGGACCAGATATTGTAGTAATCCTAGTTTATGTGGATGATATGCTAGTGATAGGTAGCAGTTTGCATCTGATTGAAGCCACCAAAAACTCATTGCACCAAGCTTTCAAGATCAAAGACTTGGAAGAATTGAAGTTTTTTCTTGAAATGGAGTTCAATAGGTCAAAGAGAGGTATACTGATAAACCAAAGAAAATATGCTTTGGAGATAATCTCTGAGTTGGGGCTTACAGGTGCTAGACCAGCATGGACTCCTCTAGAGCCAAATGCAAAGTTAACAGTGCCAGAACTTGATAAACTGACAAAAGCTGAGGATGATAATCTATTGGCTGACAGTGGACAATATCAAAGGCTCATTTGAAAGCTATTGTATCTGACATTGACAAGACCAGATATAGAATTCTCAGTACAAACATTAAGTCAGTTTTTACAAAGCCCTAAGAAATCTCATTGGGATGCAGCAATGAGAGTGGTAAGATACATTAAAAGAGAGCCAGGAATGGGGATTCTATTAAGTAGCAGGAGCAGCAACATGTTAAGTGTGTACTGTGATGCGGACTGGGCTTCATGTCCCAATACAAGGAAGTCAGTATCAGGTTTTCTGGTGAAATATGGAAATTCTTTGATCTCATGGAAGTCAAAAAAGCAGAATACAGTGTCAAGGAGTTCAGCTGAAGCTGAATATAGAAGCATGGCAAGTGCAGTATCAGAAATAGTATGGTTGACAGCATTACTAAAGGAGCTGGGGACAAAAGTAGACTACCAATTAAGGTGTACAGTGATAGTAAGGCTGCTTTGCAAATTGCAGCCAATCCAGTATTCCATGAGAGAACGAAACACATAGAAATAGACTGTCACTTTATTAGACAGAAAATTCAGGAAGGCTTGATAAAGACAGAACATGTGGGAACTAGAGATCAAGAAGCTGATATTCTGACGAAAGGATTAGGAAGACAGCAGCATGAATATCTCGTGGGCAAGCTAGGCGTGCTGAACATTTTTGCACCACCTAGCTTGAGGGGGAGTAATGAGAATGGGAATGTACATAGTAGTGTAGAATAGAATCTTCTAGAATCTTCTAGAATCAGTTAATTAGTTGGACAATTAGTTTAAGTGGTTGATTAGTTAGCTAAGACTATATATGTGTGTATATGAGACTCATTGTACAGGTGGGTAAATTGAAAATACAATTTCATTTCTCTCTTCCAATATTTCTCTCTTCCAATATTTCTCTCTCTACATTCTCTTGTTCAATCTTCTCTGCCGAGTTGTGGTTCACCATTCACACCAAAATCAACAATTCATTAGTTTATTTATCCCTTATCCATGGTTAAATAGTATTATATATTTTCACTTTTATTTTAACTACTCAGATTAAATTTTTTGATTTGATATAAATGTGGAATACGGGTAAAATTTATCTTTGACAGAAAAAAAATTTCGTTTCAACTACCCTTTTGACTTATTACACTATCGTTGTATTTTCTTAAAGCGATTTTATAATAATAAAGGGTGTGTTTAGTATAACGGAAAATATTTTCCGTGGAAAATGTTTTCCAAAAAAATATTTTTTTTGGGAAACAAGTAGTATTCTTATTCATTTTTCGGTGTTTGGTACGCAAATTAAGAAAAACAACTTCTCAAGAGTATTCATAAATAATTTAGATACAATAAACATGAAGTCATAAACATTCGAACCAACAACCTTCTGAACTCACAAATTTCATAAAATTTCGAACCGCTAAACTTTCGAAACCGCGAACTTTCGAACCCGTAAACTTCCAAACATATAAATCTATGAACTCATAACTTTGGAACTTGTAAAATTTCGAACCTGTAAACCGAAAGATGAAAAAATTAAAACTGAAAATATAAAAAAAAAAAAAAAATTCCCGGAGGAGGGGGGATACAGAAAAACGAAAAAATAGATTACAAAAAAAAAATTGTGCAGGGGTGGTGGGGGGCAGTGGGGGTAGGGGCTTTGGTGCCGGTGGGAGGGGATAGCAGGGTGGGTGGCGACGGAAAAAAAAACTTAATGAAAAAAAAGTCTTTTTGGAGAGAGGAGGTGGGGTGTGTAGGCGTGGGGTGGGGTTGGGTGGGTGAGGTGTGTGGAGGTGTGGGATGGGTTGGTGAGGCTGGAAAATAGAGTGGGGAAGGTAGAGAGGGAGTTTTGGGAAATATTTTTCCTTCTTTTTGATAAGAAAAATATTTTCCTCCAATGAGAGAAAAATATATGTTTTCCAGAACATTTAAATCAACCAAACATAAAAATATTAACGTTTTTCTTCGTACCAAACACATCCAAAGAAAGGCGTCAATTTCAAGATTTTATATTGTCCTTCAATGTTTGTAGTTATCCATATTAGAAATTCTCAAGGAGATGGTTACATACCTTTCCTGAAGGCCGGCATTTGTGCAATCATCATTACATTTATCTGTTTGTATATATGTAGTTTTCTTATTAATAAGTATGGAACTTATTTGTTCCATATTTATCTGAGAACTTATATGCATTATTTTTATGGAAAAATTTTATTTTGTATCTCATATAACTAGTCACTAGTTGTATGCGGTATTTTTTTATCTCACAATTTTGTGGACCCAAAAGTGTAAGATTAGGGTCCACAAATTTGTGAGACAAAAAGGAACCTCACACAACTAATATAAGTTGCGTGAGACACACAATAAAACTTCTCATTTTCATATGAGAACACGTGATTTGACCACCGCTATCTTACTTCTCACATTCTGGATAGGCACGCATCCTCATAGGGCGAGGGGTAGAAAAGATCAATGAAAGACTATCTCGAATAAATTCGACTCTTTTGCTTTCAAGCTACACTGGGGCGCCCGCCCCAAGATAACAATGACAGGAAACTAACCGGTCGATGTCGATTGATCTCGGGGGTTAAGTTGATAGAAGTTTATTTAAAATTTTAAATGACATGTCATGTATTTTTTTTATCAAGCGTAAACACCGAATGCCGGTAAAATTTCTACTTAAATACAAAAAGACTGAAGTGAATAACAATATACAAATATACAGCCCTTGATTGCTAAATCAAAAACTTTGAAGTGAATATGGATGGAGTTTATTCTAGACAAATTCCACAAGCCAAAAGCAACTGAACTGTCACTAACACAAGCAGAATGACAACTATTTCAACTATAACTCAAATGGAAACTGGATTGCACCCTCATCCAAAATGAAAAATGCCACCACCAAGTGTAATCTATCTTGACTATCCTTTTCCTTTCTCTTTTTTTTTAATCTTTCATCCGGAGATTCAACAGTGGTTCCTTTCTTACTTTTAGCATGACTCGAATTCTCGGATGGAGGAAGCCCAAGCGGGGGCACGGAGTGGAAAGGCCAAATACTTCAGCCTAACAAGAATGAGCAACAACGAAATGAGAAGATGAGGTGCATCGGGCATCCCCATTTAGAAAGAACGGCCGAAGATTTTGGGCCGGTAGGAGGCAGATTGCGAGCAACCCCTCTCGGCTCTCTGTCATCTTGATGATCCTTCAAACTGATCACGGAGCAACTCATACTTTTGAAGCTCGGCCATTGACAGTGAGGGAGAGATCTCTCCCAAGACCTTCAAAATAGAGAAAGATAATCATTTCGCCAGTAGCATAGGATATAGGCAGACGAACCTGGTTCACTGGCTTCAAGGGAAGACAGTATTTTCAACACCGAGCATAAATATATGTGAAAAGGATTTCACCAGTAGCATAGGATATAGGCAGACGTTAGTGAGGGTTCGACTCCCCATCGTGTAATCCCCTCCCCCATTTGGCCATTTCCCCTTCCCCTACCCTCTATATATAATAATTTAAAAAAAAAAAAAAAAACTGCTTTTGTCCACCCATAGAGAAACTCCAAAACATTCCATTAGTGTGAATTATATATTACTGAATTAATGAGTTAAAATTAAATTAAAGTAACAAGAAAAAATTTTCTAGTTTGATAAGGTACATGTTCGCTTTAAAATCGAAAATGGATTCGATACAATTCAACAAAATCTAAGACATGATTAAAATAAAAATAATTTTCGAATTTGATTCTATAAAAATTTAAGTTTCCTCTTTTAATGAAGTTAAACGATACAGCCCTTACTAGGATATATGCAGATGTAGCATGGTTCACTGGCTTCAACGGAACACAGTATTTTCAACACGGAGCATAAATATATGTGAAAAGCATTTCACCAGTAGCATAGGATATAGGCAGATGTTGGTGAGAGTTCGATTCTTCACCGTGTAATCCCACCCCCAACCCCAACCCCAACCCCACCCCCCCTAAATTTCCTCTTCCTCTACCCCTACCCCTATATATAATAATTTAAAAAGAAAACTGCCTGTCCATCCATAGAGAAACCCCAAAAACATTCCATTAGTGACTGTCTTACCTTTAGAAAATCATCGTATTCCACGACAATTGAGTCATCCACATCATCTGAGCCAGTTGAATCTGAACTGGCAGCTAATACCTACAGCATAAACACCAAAATATCTTTTAGGAAACAGCTAGGACCATATACCCTCTCCATTTCATTTTATGTGTCTTAATTCGACTAAGCACAAAGTTCAAGATTTTGCATCTTGTGATCTTAAACTAAAGGTGTCTATAACGTACTAAAGATACCCTTTGAATTTTGCGGTCGTAAACATGCCATGTCATTCTATAAGGAAGTTTCACTAAGGGTAAAATGAGAATGCTGGAATTAATACTAAATATAGAAAGAAGCATTCTTTTTTAAGCAGACTAAAAAGGAAAACAAGTATATTCAAATGGGGCGGAGTAATATTTATCAGTTGAGATACCATCGGTTGTCTGATAATGCTAGGTTACCCTTCGTACCAACTGCACTGACACTACGGGTAAAAATATTTTTTGAAATTAGAAATAAAGGATAAAAACACGCACCTTGCGTTTCGCAGCATGAAACCAAGCATCAGCGCAGAGTGCATACATGTCAGCACCCGTGAAGTTTGGAGGACACCTTTTTGCTATTGAGAGTAGAGATACATCTTCTTTCAATTTAAACTTCCGTGTAAGCGCTTTAAGGACCCTACAAATCATTGAAATTCAAGAAATCAAACATCAAATACAAAGACAAGCACAATAGAGGGTCAGAATATAAGAGACCTTACCTCTCCCTATAAGAGGCTTCAGAATTCACACCAACATAAAGGAGCTTATCAAATCGGCCTGGCCTCAAAAGGGCAGGATCAATAAGATCAGGCCTATTGCTAGCTCCAATAATAAACAAGTCCTGTTATAAAAGAGGGGCCAAGAATTAGATCTACAAATAAGACAAGTACAAAGAGAACTAAAATCTAGCCCCAAGGCTTTGGTATAGTGGTAAGAGCACATTGCGTCGATGTGTAGGTTAGGCGCACCGCGCATGTCAGGACTTTGAATCATTCAGACAGCAGTCTAGTATTTAAGTGGAGAAGGGTAAAGGGGCAGGCCAATCTGATATTCCGAACCGTTCGCTAGCTAGCCCTCGGGTATTTCTCGGTTATCAAAAAGATAATAAAGAGCTAGTTAGTGATTGAGTGGAGTAGCTAACCTGGGTAGAGTCGTTCAAGCCATCAATCTCTGCAAGCATCTAGAAACAACAGAGGTTTAGTATAACAAGCAGTATATTAGTCGAGAAAAGAAGAAAATATGACTAACAAATCAATGCATTATGTACCTGAGAAACCACTCGATCCATTACACCGCCGGAGTCTCCAGAAGCACCCCGGGCAGGAGCAAGAGAATCAAGCTCATCGAAGAAGATGACGCATGGTCGAGCTGATCTAGCCTGCAATTTTCAAGAAGAATTTTAAATAAGCAACATCCTTTTTTAAAACATCTTTGCAAAAGCAAAAATAGCTTACCTTCTGAAAAATGTCCCGAATATTTTTCTCTGACTCTCCTATGTACATGTTTATCAACTCGGGCCCTTTCACACTGAGAAAATTCAGGGAGCATTCGGTAGCAACAGCTTTTGCCAGTAAAGTCTGAACATTTCAACAGAATGTTGTTAATGAATAAAGTATCATAGATGACCAGGAACAGGACCGGACAATAAAATATAGATGATATGACACTGCATAAAGCAACTCATAAACTCACTTTTCCTGTACCAGGTGGGCCATAGAAAAGAACACCAGATCGCTTGCGCAATCCAGACGAAAACAAGTCCTTGTGTAAGAGAGGCAGCTGCATTACAAAGGAAGAAGAGAATGGAAGTCACATCATCTGAAAAATAGCAGAAATAAAATACTAAATCCAGTAGAGTACAACTTCTAATTCGACGCACCATGGGTAATAAGTATAAACTTTAAAAGGAGGCTTATTCGCTTCAGTTTTCACAAGCGTTATGTGGGAGTAAATCAATGGAATACCTGTACAGTGTCCAAAATTGATTTCTTCACATCTTCAAGACCACCGACATCTTCCCATTTGACATTTGGAACCTACACTAGTGTAAACCATATATATAAGAATTTTGTCAAGCAGCATTAGACTTTTCAATACAATAATTGACCGTCTGCATTGCAATCCCATGCTAGACAAAAAAAGATGAACCAAACCAATATAAGCAGTCAGCACACTAGAGTCCAATAATGGAGCACAGAATATCTGAACTTTCACCAAATTTTGTTGCTCCACAAAAAACTTTGAAACTTCGTTTTCTTGCAAAAAACATTAAAATGCTGAGCAAGTCCAATCAAACACAAAAGAAGCATAATAAGATTAGTTTTGTTTACAAAATCATTTCCTGATTTACCTTTGGAGTACCCAGTGCTGATGCATTTCTTTTCTTTGATCGTTCCAGTGATTTCATTACATCTTCTTTGCTTAGGGACTTTGTCGAGTCATGCGAGCCATTATTCTCGATTGGTTTGCTCTTATGAGAAAGCTCTTTCAGACTTCCATTCTCAACCTCGACTTCCTCACTACCACGACTAAGGACTAGATTTGCACCGGCATCAGCAACTAAAGCTCGCAGATCTCTTGGCATGAAACCTGATGTCTGACCAACCAAATCTTTCACAAGGTCCTCCAAAGAAGTCTGCAATAAAAACGACAACAAATGACACCCACGACTTCAGTAATCTAGAAAATAACAGAAAGGAAGAGATGAGAGTCCTTCATTCCTCCTCCCCCCCCCCCCCCCCCAAACCCCCTGAAACCCTTTACACTTCTCAAGTTTCCCAACTTCATGGGCATACTTTTTCTTAATAACCCTGGTGTCCGGGCCAGCTTACGTACACGCACCTCGACTAATTCCACTGGATACGTGCTACCAGGCACTAGGTAACTTTGTCCATTAAGGCTTGGACAAATGAGAAGAAATCACCCAATGTTTTTGCCTCCGCTGGGATTCGAACCTGAAACCGCATGGTTCTCAATCCACTTTATTGATCACTGGGCCACACAGTTGGATGCAAAATTAGAAAATTTCATGGACCCTTTTGGCCTATAGCCAATAAAGTTTAATAAAGGACCAGTGTAGCGTACATATGAAAGAATATTAAGATCACACAGACAAAAGAGAAGGAAACTTCAAGTTTACCTACATCTGGAAGTAGTTCACTGAAATGTTGAAGAGACTGGGAGAGCATTTCATTCCTCTGTTCTTCACTCAACGGACCCACGCTAATCTCGTGACTGAAACAACGCCTAATAGTTGGTGGAAGGCCTTCAGAACTATCAGCAGCAGCAACTAACAGCACTGGGTGCCGATTTACAGGTTGAGCAACCTTTACTTGCTGCATCAACAAAAGACAAGAATAAGCATTACCCAGACTATTCTCCAGTATACTATGTGAAGTGGCACCTTTCAGATAGAGAGGTGGCAATAGAAAGTAATATTATGTTGTCGTCCTCTTTTCGCCACCCCTCGGAGAATATGATAATAGCCGTACAGACTATGGACTAGATAAGGGAGTGCATGGGGTAAATTGTGGTAAAAGAAATTCAAAAAATGCAAATGCTGGTGAAATTTTGATGCAAGCTCATCAATACTTCAAATTTATTGAGCAGTTAACAAAATTAAATTAAGAGGACTTAGCTCGTATGACTATGAGAGGACAACCTCAACTCCAAGAAGATTTTAATAGAAGATATGTTCTGAATTTAAGCCAAAATGCAGCTATTTTGACTCAAATTTCTTACGGAAATCAGGTAACATTTGAGCGCAAGTAGGCTTATCTATTACATGGATCCATTTATATCATGTCTTTTGCAACTTCTGCCAACAATTCTGACTATGATACTACCTAGCACTAGGAGAGAATTTAGCTTTCTGAATCTCCCTCTTCCCATAAATTCACATAAATATGAGCAAGAATCCAAGAAAATTATAACATGATGAAAATTTTGAAAAGAGAACAGGAAAGAAAAACAAACCAATCTAATTGATGATGATCATGATAATGCAAAACAGTGTTGTCAAAGGCGCGCTTAAAGCACGCTTAAGCCCTCAAGCGAGGCTCAAAACACGTTGAGCGCTTCGCCTCGCTTAGTGGGCGCTTTAGTGTCGCATGAAAGCTCTAACACATACTTTTCCTTGCCAATGAGTGTAATCCTGAAAAGGCGACCTTAAACAATTGATATTTCACTTTATCATGATTTTTTTTTTAAATTTCTTTGTCCATATATTTGTTATTCATGCTTATAATGATTATTCTTGGACTACTGTGCATATTTTTACTTTTTCTCTCGTTGTGCCTTTTTTCATTAAAGCCCACGCTTTATTTGCATTTTGCGCTTAAAGCCCCAACGGACCTTAGAGCTTTTTTGCGCTTTTCGCCTTTGATAACACTGATGCAAAAGAAAATTCATCAACATCATTCAGTACGATATGACGGACACGGAGATATGAAAAGTAAAGGAACTTGGAATACATCTTACATCATGAGCATTTGACTTTCCCTCTGAGTAGGATTCTTCATCTTCAGCAACTGGCTCAGTAAATTCCATTATGACGGATGCAACCTCTAAGTTCATACCAACTTGGTCATGTGGTGAACCCTCGTGAGAGACCAGGTTCTTGAAGACCTCAAAATGGCGAAGAAGAAGGATTGCAGGCGAGTATCTGCAGTGCAAATTGATTTCAAAGGAACAAAAGACCACATTAAAGACAACCAAGCTTCTTAAGTTTCGATATGCTTCAGCCGGTTTGACCAGATGGATTTAAACATAGAGTTTAACGGATCTTTTAGTTGAGGTTAGTTTAATATATGTTCAAAATCATTGTCAAAGGATTTTAAAGTGGGTCGTTGGTCTATTCAAAAAATGTAAACTAATTGTTCTCTGTCAATTTAGGATAAGGCCCAATTTAATTTGAAAGAAGTGAAAGGGAAAGTAGCTCAAATAAACTGGGACAAAGGAACAATTTAGAAAGAGACAATCATTGTAATATGCGAGTATCCAAAACACAAGGAGTAATTAGTTAAACGTGAAAATTTTCATGTACATTATACTTCTATGAAGCTAGTCATGATTTCCCTAATGTATATTCGCAATAGCAAAAAGTTATTGCTTCAAGGTACGGACAGTGTATGGGGCAAACTCAAATTAACTGAGGGCTGAGTAAAATTGTGTAAATCAGAAAATCTTAGGTTAACCGTACATAGTCAATTTACCAGGGAATAATGAAAATCAGGTCGTCGACGTATTAGTAAAGGCTGCCACCTACAGTCACTAAACCTTATAATAGTAGTTAGTTAAATAGACAATAAATCCTAGGCAACCTAAAATACCTGCGAGCCATGCCAAAAGCTTCAGCTAGGGCAACTGATGTTTTTCTATCAGAATTTGCAAATACACTTTGACAGTTATATTCCACCACATGAAGGCCTAATTGACGAGCAACAAATTTAACCACAGTTCTCTTCCCGCAACCTGCAGAGATTTGAAACCATCCATCAACAGCAAAACTAATTTACAAATCGATGGAGCTGCAGCTTTTAATCGAATAAAAATTTTGCATAGTAGTACTCCATCTGTCCCAATTTATGTGACACTCTTTCATTTTAGTCAGTCCCAAAAAAGAATCACACCTTTCTATATTTAGTAGCTATTTAACTTTAAACTTTCCATTTTATCCTTATGAGATGATTTATAGTCACACAAATATCTATGGCTTGTTTAAGACTACAAGTTTCAGAAGTCTTTCTTTCATTCTTAAACTTTGTCCCCAGACAAACACCGTCATAAACTGGGATGGAAGGAGTACAGGTAAAATATATTTATCAAAGAGAACCATAAAATCACGCTTCTGATAGCTTAAGCATTATCCTACTCATCCACTGTAGACATCTAAACCATGTTCATTTAAAAAAAAAAAAAAATCAAACACTGGACTCCCAATCTAGAGATTTTGCCAATATGTAACAATTCCGAGAATCATCTCTTCTGCTTTCTGCAACGTCATGCGACAGGTGATAAAAGAAAATATCACAAAACAGTTAAGAAGAGAAAGAATATCAAAATCATCCAATAAGCAGCATCTTTCAAATTAACCAGCAGATGGCAAAGTTTAGAACGTACCGGGCGAACCATACAACAACACAGCAACCCGAAATTTTGATGAAAGGGCTGATGGACATAATGGTGGCATAAGTATGGAGGCTAACGTCTTCACAGTGCTCACTTGTAAAGGCAGAGAACCTCGTGGTCGAGGAATTAAGAAATCTGGAGGAACAGCAGAAGGTACATTCCCTCCAAGTACAAGGGCCGTTCGAGTACGGTTGACTCTTAGGACAGGTTCTTCGGAAGGTTCCATGGCCACAACCTGGGATTGCTTACTAATAAGAGTGAGTGTCAAGGCATTTCGCAAGTTACTCGTGAACCTATGACGATAATAAATAAAATTTAAACCTTGAAATAGATGAGGTCAGAACCACCACTTTGCTTCTTTTGACTGCAAGGGATGCAGAGAGCCGATTTGCAATTCCAATTTATGCATACACTGAAAAGATCACCTCTCGAAAGAAATCTATCTACTTCAAAGTACTTATTCAATTCCATATCGATCAACTCTTGACGGTCTTCAGCTTCTATAGATGAATCTTTTTTAACTGACCCTAGACTCCCACATTCTGGTATCTTCACAAAAGAAGCCCTCAGGTGTGTGGCATATTTTGGCAACTGATCTAAAGGTTCAAATTCTAGAGTCATGGGAACATTGTCTTTTCCACTCACTATATTATTTGATTTCGCCTCAAATAGTGGTGACAAAGCTTCTTTCCCTTGGTGAATCATTGATTTCAAGCATGACAAATGTAAATAAAGGTTAAATGCTAGAATCGGAGATAAATAGGCAACTTCTCCATCTGGTTTTATATGAGAATCAGGATAGCTATGTAATGGCAAGAGAAATGCTGTCCCGGAGGACTGTGGCGGTGATGAACTACGGTCGGATAAAACTTGGTCACGACTAGGAGGATCTAGAACTACCACTTGTCCAATTCTTTGTTGACTTGTATTGACATTTTTTATGAGTACCTATGGCAAAAACAGAGGGAGCACAAAGTCAAGCAAGAATCATGTATGTCTAAGTTAGTAAGGGAGAATGAATATCTGAAGGTATCTTTACTGCCACACTAGAAATGAATGTCGCATAATACCACAAACAACAACAACAAAAAAAAAAAAAAAACCCAGCTCGTGGGGTCTAGGAAGGGTATTGTGTATGCAGACCTTATCCCTACCTTGGGGAGGTAGAGAGGCTGCTTCCGATAGGCCCTCGGCTCAAGAAAATAATACCACAACCAGAGATCAACAAAAACCGGAAACAATCTACGGTATTTTATCAGTTAGACCACTGCATATGCGAATACGAGCAATACTGTATCTTCACCCCCCTACATTTTTTCATAAGGTATTTACTGCTACATTAGAAATGAATGTCAAAACTCTCATAGTAGGCATCAGAAAGCAAATTTAAACGCAAGAAAAGAGTATGCCTAATTTGTTAATTATCTGTGATTGCTTTTTTGATAACCGTGGTGTCCAAGCCAGCTTGTGCGCACCTCGACTAATTCCACAGGATACCTGCCACTTTCCACTAGTAATAGTTACCACGTAACACTATCCATTGAATATGCCATAGTGTAATATAAATCTTTCTAAAATTATTCTTCAAATTTTTCTGAGCAGTTTTGGTCCTTTTAAGTTTGCCTAAAGTGATCACTTTTAGTCTCCGTCAAATATTTAACAAACTATGGTCATTAAATTTAATAAGAACTGTGGAAAATAAGAAGCATACCAATGAACCAGAAGTAATACAAAGTCTTCTAAGTTGAGAAGTAGTTATCCCAACCAAAGCAGAATCATCAAGATTAACAATGTCGTCTTTTGATATTTTAAGAACTCCAGCTCTCAATTGTACTTTTGGCGAAAATCGAATCTGGGTTTTATTTTCTGAATTTAAGAGTGAATTTAGTAGATTTTTAGTGGAAGAAAGAACTAAAGGTTTCCTTTTTTCCACCATAGTTGATTGAACAAGAACTCTGTTGAAACCCTAGTTTTAATTTGCTGTTGCAATTGGAATTTGTGGGTTAAAGGGAGGGAGAGATGGATTTTTTGTTTTGTTTCTTGTGATTGAATTTGATGCTGAAAATTGAGCAAATCAAGAAATGGAGTTTATTACAAAGAGATATATGTTGACGATAACATTCTTAACTGTTTCGAACTTATGTTGTCAGCATAATATTCGGGTCGGATATTTGTATTCGGGTCGGGTATTTGTATTCGGGTCATTCAATCATCTATACCAGTAGTAAAATTAGCGGGCTAGCCAGTTTTCAGACTGGTTATTCAAAAATAGTCAGCGTTTGCAAAGTTATTAAAAAATAGCCATTATTTTGCTGCAACACGGAAAGTTCCAGCATAATATACTGGAGATCGGTGCATCTGTGTATGAACTTCCAGCATATTATGTTGGAATTCCAACACGCGGAAAGTTCTAGTATACTATACTGGAGTATTTTTCTGGATTTTGAACAGTATTTTCTTTCAGATTTATCTTTACATGAAAAGTGACAAAATTTTGATTACTTTTAAAATTGTGGCTATTTTTGAATGACCACTTGTAAATCTGGCTTTTTTTTTTTAATTTCTCCCCTACCAGTAAGGCAATAATTGCACTTCAGAGGTCACTATTTAAATTTTGTATCTGTTAATCTTCTGAATTTCAAAAAAATCGCATAAATATAACACTTTTGAAGTGGTCATTAAATTTTGACCCTCACTTGCGCTATGGGCAGAATTTTAAGGTCGGGAAGTTAAAAAATAGAGAAATTTTCATAAAGTACTATCTTTTGGTGGTAATTAGCTTTCTATAGATACCATTTGCTATATTACGGATTGTAGATACGTTTTCTGTTGTTATAAGATGTATTAGATGTATTTAAGCTACTGTATTCATGAATACAGTAGCAAAAATAGGCGTGAATCAGGGAAGTCTAGCTTGTATTCGAGTGTATTCGATGCTATATTACGGATTGTAGATACGTTTTCTGTTGTTATAAGATGTATTAGATGTATTTAAGCTACTGTATTCATGAATACAGTAGCAAAAATAGGCGTGAATCAGGGAAGTCTAGCTTGTATTCGAGTGTATTCGACTGTATTCATGGCGTAAAACATGGGATTGCAGCTGGACAGATTATTGTATTCTACTGTATTCACGGCGTGAAACAGGGGATTACATTGTTTTTAAACGGAAAGTGAATCAATTAACATAATAGACTCCTAATATAACTCAACAAACTCAATTATAACACACAAATTTTGTATTTCCAGTTATAAAAAAGATTCTCAACAAAAAAATACCCCAAAAACATAGCAATCTTCAGAGAAATTATATAATACATCTGAATACATAAATTATATTAATTAAAAAAAAACATATGAATACATTCATGGCATATAGCGAGGCAGTGAATACAATGGAATACATAGAATACAGCATGATACATTGAAATACAATGGAAAAAAGACAGTGAATACAATAAAATACATTAAAATACAGCGAGATACATTGAATTACAATGAAAAAAAAAGACAATAAATACCCCGCTTTGAGTTTGCCTTTTCCTTTTGCTGTTCGACTGACGAAGCATTTTTGTATGAAATTGTGACCTAGGGTTTCGATTGATGAGGTCAAGGGTTTGGATTTTGCGATTTCGGTTATTCGCATCATCTTGATTTCACCGTGTAATGCTCAAAACCTAGGATGAATCTGGCTCTGCAATGAAAAGTGAAAGTGACGATGTAATTGGAAACCCCTCAAAAACCCTTCTTGGGTCGGGGAAAGTATAAAAATTAAGAAAGAGAATTTTTCATGTATCAAAGTAGAGAGAGAAAGAAAATAGTGTAACTGAATAACGTATTTAGTGGCTTAGGGTAGGAGGTAACCAAAATTAGATATTTTGCTATAAACACTAAAAGGTATCTATAGAATATAATTTTTTAAAATGGTATTTATTTAAAATAAATAAGGTGTTAATCTTTGCTATAGGAGGTAAAAATTCCTAAAAAATATTATCCATGGGACGAGACTTGTCAAACTTGAAGTTCTGCTCAAAGGACAAGCGAGAACAAAAAAATCAAGACCATCTACTTTAGGGGTTATTTATATAGTTCATCCTAGAATTTTTCCTTTGTGATTGGATAAAAGAAAATCATGTATAAATTTAGCCCATTAGATTAATATTAGTAGGGATAAAATTTAAATAGTAGCATAAAAAAGGTCGTTTGTGCAAATGCCCCAATAATTGACATAAATGCAGACCCATATATAAGAACGATATGGCATGAACGGGAGAAACTTAAAAATAGCCAGATTTATAAGTGGTCATTTAAAAGTAGCTACAGTTTCAAAAGTAATCGAAATTGAGCCACTTTTCACGTAAAGATAAATCTGAACGAAAACACTGTTCAAAATCAGGAAAATACTTCAGTATAATATACTGGAATTTTAGTATAATATACTGGAACTGCAGTATAATATAATGGAGTTCCGACATAAGTATACTGGAACTCCAGTATATTATACTAGAGCTCCAGCAAAATATACTGGAACTCCACTATATTATACTGGTGTTCCAGCAAAGTATACTGGAGCTCTAATATAATATACTGGAGTTCCAGTATAATATACTGGACTTCCAGCATATTATACTGGAGTTCCAATATAATATACCGGTCCAGCATAATATGACGGAAGTTCATACACAGGTGCACGGTCTCCAGTATATTATGCTGGAACTTTCCATATTATAGCAAAATAATGGCTAATTTTGAATGACCAGTCCGAAAACTGGCTAGCCCGTGCTATTTTTACGGCATGAACATGCCTATTTTGAAGAAATGAGATTTTTACCTAGATTTGCAATATAATAGTTCTAATTACCATTATTAGGGAGATTTTTATTTAATTACCTAAAAATAGCATTATATATCAATTGGATACAAAGTAAGGGATTATGCTTCAATCTTCCACATTTTAGGCTTCAATTTTCCCAATTTTCTCTCTACCTCTTTCTTTTCTCACGCCTTTGTTTGCTCTACGATTCTATTGCTTGAACCACTAATCTGAAAAATAACGTTTTCTACTCCAACCACCACATTAATGCACAACAATGTTCGTTGACAAAAACAAAACCCTATCAACATCCATGTTTGAGCGATTTCAAAAAGTTAAATAAAGAGGAATTTTCAGAAATGAATGTTGTTTAGTGGATATTAACTTGCTATAGGCTATAGCAACCATTTACTTAATTACTTCCAATAGCTATGTTTTTACTTGTTATAGGTGTATTTGATGTATTCAAGCTACTGTATTCATGAATACAGTAGCAAAACTCGGCGGAAAACAAGGAAGTTCAGCTAAACATATACTGTATTCATATGTATTCGCGAGCTGTATTCGTGAATACAATAACGGAAATCTGCGGAAAAAAAGGTCTTCAGCTGTTTAAAAATAGTAAGCGAATCAATTAACGCTATAGGCTCCTTATATAACTCAACAAACTCAATTATAACACGCAAAATTTGTATTTCCAGTTATAGAAAAGATTCTCAGCAGAAAAACACCCCAAACACATAGCAATCTTCAGAGATTCAATCCATCCTTTCTTTTTTTAGTGGTATCTTTACGAAAATATTTTTAGTGGTATCTTTACAAATAGATTTATATATTGAAATTATATAATTACATTGAATACAGTTAAATACATACAATACATTGAATACATGAAGTATAGCATGTCATCTATAGTGCAAAACATATGAATACATACTGCAGATACTTTTGAATACATATATACATCTGAATACATAAATTATATTAATTAAAAAAATATATGAATACATTCTACAATACATTAATTACATACTGTTGAATATATACTGCTGGACAAAACAGTGAAACAAAGTGAAGCTTTGAAATTATATAATTAAATTGAATACAGTTAAATACAATGAATATATTGAAAAAGTAGAAAAAAACTAAAGACAGTGAATACAATGAAATACATGGAATACAGCGAGATACATTGAATACAATGAAAATAAAGTATCTTTTCCCTTAACCCTTGAATCATCATCCATAAGTTTTCTTCTCTTTTCCGCATCAGAAAGTGTTGATTCTTTCGAAGATTTCTCAAATTGGGCTTGTTTCGATGTTGGGCAAACCTCTTGTGAGTTGTTGAATCAGCCATTGGAGATGAAATTTCGAGTTTCTGGTGAAAGCATAACAATGGTGATTATTTCTAGAAATTTAGTAAAGAGAAACAGAATAAGCAATATACCAGCGAAAATCTAACAACCTTAACACTTACCACAACTTTTTGGAGCAAAAAAAATTGAAAATTTCGCGAGACAATGGAGATGAATCAGTGGAGAATTGTTGGTTTATTCATGGAGAAGTGACTGGCGTTGAGAGAGAGAGAGATCGTAGTTTGTGAAGTTGTATACTATACGGTGGTCTTGTGAGAGAAAGAACGGAAAGTAGGAGAGAGAAAAATATTACCCAGCGTATTTAATGGCTAAACGGTAGGAAGTGACCACAAATACATATTTTGCTATAAAACCTAAAAGGTAGCTATACAACAACAACAACCCAGTGTGGTCCCACAAGTGGGGTCTGGGAGGGTAGGAAGTACACAGCCTTACCCCTACCCTGTAAGGACAGAGAGACTGATTCCGATAGACCCTCGGCTAAAGAAGGTGAGAGAAGCCCTGGTAGCAAATAATAGCAAGACAATAATTAGAAAACTAAATCGAAGATAGCAACAGATAATATGAAAGGGGTACTGATAACAAGTAGTAGCAAGATAACATATTTAGAAAACTAATTCCGAGGCAGAGGACGAGAATATGAACGAAGTACTGCTAGCAAACTACGAAAATACCAATGGCAAGTAACAACGAAAAGAGACATGCGCATATAACAAACTAAGGAAAAAAGGGCACCGTACTAGCGCTAATATTATCAAGCTAGAGAAGACAAAGGGAGACGCACGACTACCTACTAACCTTCTACCCTAATCTTCAACCTCCACACCCTTCTAAAAGGTAGCTATAGAAAATAATATTTTAAAAGATATTTATTTATAATAAATAAGGTGTAAAGCTTTGCTATAAGAGGTAAAATTTCCTTAAATAAAACTTGT